ATTAATTTGAATTTATAACGAGTGAGGTGTCTTTTGTAATTGTCACCAGCTGACTTGAGAGGGACATGTAACAGATGGTTTACCACTTTAGAACAAGAATAATTTACACCGTACTTAAGGAGCCATCACAAGACCTTGCACTTCAGAAGAGTATCAGGTTTGTGCCATACCCGAGGTTCGTGTCACGTTGCGTGTTTGTTGAAAGGATGATGTATGTTGTCATTTTATAATTAGGTTGACACTCAAGACACACCATGCCAGCTTTGAACCCTTGAACTTAAACTTGAGCAAGAACATTATTTTGCTTACTTTGAACTCCTGATATTACCCCTTGAGCGTTGAAGAGATACAAACAAAATGATGTGTGTTGGTTGGAGAGGTCTCATGACTGTAACTCGATTTCCCTCTGAAGGTCATCAGGATGGAAATTCATGTATTTGACTAACAGGTTACAGCATCAGTGTTTTCGTTTTTTTTTTATTTGTGTATGTTATTTACTGAACGCAATAGTTAATTCCTGAATAAATAAGAAATGACAACATTAAAAATTAAACTTAAAAACAATTCTGGAAAAAAAATAAAGAAAATTGGATTTCTTGCACGCAAAGTTAACTATTAATTTGGTGATTCCAGTAGGTGTTCCCTCCAGCGGTGTGAGGAATCGTTAATAACAACTCCATGCCAAATAATTTATGGATAGAGACACGAGTACGTTGCTAGTCTAAGACTGTCCAGTCGCTGTAGAGTCGGCGACAAAAGGTGATCCTGAGCTCGACCCTGGGATCTGCATACCTAGCCACTTACTCCACATCTCTGTTTATCTTTTTTATTTAATCCCTAGCTGCATTTTCAAGGCTGAATTTAAAAGTTTGATTGGGTAAGGGAAATCTGGGAGTTTGACGAGAGTGCACAGTATTTGGATAAAGAAGATCTTCTAAACTAATATTAAAACTAATTAAATATATTGTAATAAATCGATTACTACATTCATTAAAAAAATAAGGTGTTTTGACTAATTACTATATCCAGCGCTAGAGAGAGAACCACGGGCATTAATTATGATTTAATGAAGAACTCCCACCTGTTACGCGAGGTTAAACTGACGCCATGTTTGTTTTTCCCCGATGAGTGTTAAACAGCTGTAATAAATATTGTATAATACCCTTATTTGGTGTCCCTAATGACCTTGTGTTCAGTTGTGGGGAAGACTTGGCCACCCGACCCCTGCACCAACCTGTAAGTCAGTATAACGGAGTAACAGCTAAGGTTCAGGTTACTGTTAATCCTCGTAATCAGAGAAGTGAAGAAAAATATGTCGCCTAAATATACGTAGTTGATAACAGAATCACCCCCATTGTGTATGTGACTTTTCAGCTACATATACTGTAGTACTCGCATATCCTCATTACAGTACGACTGCACATACACGTTTAAACAAGTACACGTTCACTTACAACCGAAGGTCTATAGAATGACCTCGTTGTTCATGGTTAATAAAATCTTAAGCATCCAGCAAAACAATATAATATCCACACAGTCACACCTCAAACATCTTGTTCGGTCACAACAGGCTAGGCTACAAGGCCTTCGGGCAATCTACAGTACTCGGTGCTCTCGGTTTATAATAATAATAATAATATATCTGCTGTAGTGTACATTAAGATGTAAATTAGTTTTCACTTTTATTCAGTAAGTTGTAATATATACATACATACATATGTGTGTATATATATATATATATATATATATATATATATATATATATATATATATATATATATATATATATATATATATATATTAAGTTAGAATTTGTCAAGGGTGATGATGTATTATCAAAGTTTCTTCAAGAGTGACATTGAAATATGTATTCCGTTGTCGCCCGACCTTAAAGAATAAAATAAGAAAAGATTCAAGCAGAAAGCACAAAGGCAGGAATACAAGAGACTACAGGCAAGCTGCCAGTTGGATCATTTTATCAAGAGATAGGTAATTGGGTTGTCAACACTGATAACTGGCAGACAAACCTCGCTCTTGTAACTTGACGCTAAACGGACAAATAGAAACGTTCGGTTGTCTCTGAATAAATATATAAATTAATATGTCAGTCGTATCTGCCGACTTGAATTAATGTTAATCACTTAATATCGAGACTTAGGTTTGCTTTCCTCACACAAACCCTGGCTGGCTCTTGGGGTTGCCGAGGAACCGCCAGACCACCGCTGGGTGCCCGTGCCCCTGGGGGCTTTCAGACGACCATTGCCAGTTCATGGGTGGGGCAACCCTCACTGTGTCCCCAGGTGGCTGACACCCCACCACACAGTACAGATGGCCACAGCGTGTCTGTTATTAATATCTGCCCTTACTTGGCGCCTCGTGTAAAGTGACGACCACTTGCATACCCGTAAATAAACTCATGGCAAGGAAGCTCCCCCACATTTCCCGGCACCGAGATTTTTTTTATGCAAACTTAATTGGAAACAGACTTTTGTATGGTAGTGGATAAGAGAGTTGTTGTAACAGTATTATATATATGACTGCCTTTCACTGGAGGGCACATAACTCCTGCAGGTGTGTATATCCCCAGTATTGGTCGCTGCTTGTGATATAGAAAAATAGCGAAATTCATGGAAGATGCTTCGGCTGGTTAAACAGTAATGCCCGTTTAATCGTAGACCAACTAATTGAACTTCATTTCCAATAGAGTCAAGGCTCGTATAAAATATCCTGTTCATCGGTGAGTGGAGCTTGAAGTTAGAGCCGGGAGACCATGAAGTGAAAAATATCAACAACAGCATACAATTGACGGCTTGAGAGACGACAGTACCCGTCCCATCAACACTGAATGACGGGGTAAAGGTGAAATTACTGTATACTGTCGACTCTGCGTACGAGAATATAAATTTGGTTGTTCTATATTTTTGTGTGTAAACAAATAGTGCTTAAAATAGAACAAGAATGCATGCGTTAAACAGTGAGTGAACGAGCGGCATGTGTGGCTGTAGAAAAACCCAAGACTCATATAGTTTTCATTATCCTTAGTTCTCGTGTTGAAGGTTTTAGTGTTTTCGTTGTAGCTAGTTCGTGCCTCTTGGGTCTACAAGGCTACGAGAGAATATGTGTTGACTCCGTGCTTGGCGACGTGATGTCTCCATGCCTGGCGACGTGATGACTCCATGCCTGGCGACGTGATGACTCCATGCCTGGCGACGTGATGACTCCGTGCCTGGCGACGTGATGACTCCGTGCCTGGCGACGTGATGACTCCGTGCTTGGCGACGTGATGTCTCCATGCCTGGTGACGTGATGTCTCCATGCCTGGCGACGTGATGACTCCATGCCTGGCGACGTGATGACTCCATGCCTGGCGACGTGATGACTCCATGCCTGGCGACGTGATGACTCCGTGCCTAGCGACGTGATGACTCCATACCTGGCGACGTGATGATTCCATGCCTGGCGACGTGATGACTCCGTGCCTAGCGACACGTTGACCCCGTACCTTGCGACACATCACCTCAAGACCACATCCAACACTGGCACTACGGGGTTAGATAAAAGATCTTTCTCTCATGCGTTTCTGCTTCAGTGAGCAGTGGACGATATTCTCTCTTCTCTCAAGGCAAAATCCGTGACCCACTGAAGCAGTTGTCCACAAGCTGGCAGCGCTTACGTGACCGACCCTCGTCAGTATACTGTGATCACTTAAGAGCTTCCTCCGGCCAATGATAATTTATATAATTCATAATTCATTTGCTTATAAATCAGTTCCAGTGGCAGACTTTTACTCGGTTTATCATAGTTATTTGTTTATTTGTAAATATTACGACCACAACACTGACCACCATCCATAAGGTCTTGGCGGATGCAATTTGCCAGAGGTGTTTTATGTAGAATATAAAGCACCGTTTGAAGTTGACCACCGTCCTGCCTTGTCACATCTAGACGACGGTGATAGGAAGAAAAAACGTGGGTGGTGGGTAGGAGGAAGGGGCGGGGGCTGGGCACGTGATTGGAGGGAGGCCAAGGGACGGGGATCAGTGTGTGGTGTGTCCTTCAGTAGATACCAACATGTGTGTGTGTGTGTGTGTACCCCTGAGTGACGTTTCAACCATCCTTTACGACACTTCCACCTGTTTGATTTTGAGATGTTAATGTAATTAGTGCATATAGGTGAGCAAGGGGGGGCAGAGGGACCTTCAACCCACTCTGCTGCCGTACCCTTTAACTTAGAATGATGGTGTACTGTTTGTATCTGTAAACTTTGTGAATTGTTTGTTGGTAAATTATGGCAACATCAACTAAAATCCTATAGTGTTTCATAATATATGGTCGCTTAGTAGGAAGTGTTGATTCTATTACCCACCTAAATTGGCCGTCTCGACGCCACCCTCATAAAAAAAATCTTGACTTTAACCCCTTTGAGGACGATGATTTAACCCTTAACGACGATGATTTAACCCTTAACGACGAAGATTTAACCCTTAACGACGAAGATTTAACCCTTAACGACGATGATTTAACCCTTAACGACGATGATTTAACCCTTAACGACGATGATTTAACCCTTAACGACGAAGATTTAACCCTTAACGACGATGATTTAACCCTTAACGACGATGATTTAACCCTTAACGACGATGATTTAACCCTTAACGACGATGATTTAACCCTTAACGACGATGATTTAACCCTTAACGACGATGATTTAACCCTTAACGACGATGATTTAACCCTTAACAACGAAGATTTAACCATTAACGACAAAGATTTAACCCTTAACGACGATGATTTAACACACCGCGATTCAAAGGGTAAAACAAGCAGCCACACATGAAAATTCATCAGAAATAAATGTACCTTATCCCCACTCTGTGTACAAGAGGCCGCCAACCCTCTTTATCATCCTTCTGTGTGTAAGAGGGGCATAAGTATCTGACATATAAGAGCTGGATTGAAATAAAGTCATAATTCCCTCTTATTGTGAAGCTTACGTGACCATGAAGGTACATCTCAAGAGGATTAAATAAATACTTAAAAGTGGATCATGTTAAGATTAGACACCCCAGCTTATTTCACCTTAAGATTAACCACCCTAATCCTTACCCTACCCAACCCAACCTATCCCAACCCAACCCAAACCCAAGGTAGCTTCAGAGTGATTTTTTTTACAATAGGTGAAATAAGCAGGAAGGGAGAAGGGTTAATCTTCAGGTGATTTCTAAGAGTTATAACTGTCTTGTTACATTCAGGGGAAAAAAATTTATAAATATTAGTCTTTCCTCACCTTGACGCTCCTTCAGCCGTCAAGGTTACCAAGTGACTGGAGTTCATGGGATACTTGCCCTTAACCCCCTTGAGTCCTGAAGGGTTAAATCATCGTCGTCAAAGGGTTAAATCATCGTCGTTAAGGGTTAAACCATCGTCCTCAAAGGGTTAAATCATCGTCGTTAAAGAGTTAAATCATTGTCGTCAAAGAGTTAAATCATCGTCGTCAAAGGTGTTAAATGTCAAAAAATTGTAACGTGCAGTTTAATTACAGTATTGATATAAACAAAAATTATATTATTTATATATATATATATATATATATATATATATATATATATATATATATATATATATATATATATATATATATATATATATATATATATATATATATATATATATATAATTTTTTTTTTTTGCCCGATTTACCTAAAGTTTTATTATGGACTACTTTAGTCAACCAGGAAGTTAATTCATCTCTTCCCCTCTCTACTTCCTTCCCTCACTCCCTCATACACTTTCTCCCCGCCTTTTTTCCCATTCCTTCTCATAACCTTTTCTTCCTCTCCCCCTTCCTTCCCCTCCCCTCTCTACCCTCCCTTACCTTAACCGTTTTACCTTTAGCTACTCTTCCTTCCTTCCTAGGTGACTTGCATCAACCTGGTGAGAGTGAGAGAGAGAGAGAGAGTCAGAGGTGAAAGTGTAGTGACGTGTATATCATGTTTCAGGTGTTGCTGGTGTCAAGCAAAAAGGACCCCTGCGCGTGGCTGGTGCCTGGCGGAGGTCTGGAGGCTGGAGAGGACACCGTCACAGCCGCCAAGAGAGAGGCCTGGGAGGAGGCTGGCATCCAAGGAGACATTGCTCGCTACCTCGGTCTCTTTGAGGTGAGGCCTACAGCCAGGGCACATCCGGGGGGGGGGTTCCTTCCCTCCTTCCCAACAGATTAAATATTTTTGCTCAAAGTTAGAAAGTTAGGTTAAGCTTCGTAACATAAGTAAGTTACATAAAGAGGTAATGTTTGGTTCGATTAGTGTTTTACTTACCTTTTTTTCCTTTTATCCTCTTCACCACTGATCGGCTCGTTAGCCGCTTGGGCGATCGGTCACGTCTCTGTTACACACTGTTGGCAAGTACTGGGCATGCACCAGCTCCTGAATGTACCTGTACCTGCTCCAGTGTTAGTCAAGTCTTGTCTTCAAAGAGCTTACACTCGGTGCCGTCACAACACTTTTTGGCAGATTGTTCCAAGAGTTCACAACTCTCACTCCGAAAAAGTTTGCCCTCACAGTTTTCTGGATCTGCGGCTTCTTCAATCTTGAGCTGTGACCCCTTGTGGGGCGAGCGTCCGTCAGCTCCAAGTAAGGAGACTCGACTGAGTAGTGCCCCTTGAGATGCTTATACACCTCAGTTAGGTTGCCCCTTGCCCGTCTGTAGTATTAGCTAGGCAAGTTCAGGCGCTCCAATCTCTCAGGGTAGTTGAGGTGCCGAAGCGCAGGCACCAGTCTGGCTGCCCTCCTTTGAACATTTTCAACCAACTGACCGTCCCTAGTATATCTCGGGGACCAGACTGGGTGACAGTACTCCAGATGGGGAAACACTTCACTCTAGATATCTGAACGACCTTCTTATAAGGCCTATGAATTTATTTGCCCGATTTACCTTCTTCTCGCAATGGCCCGAGAACTTCAGCTCATTGTTAACATACACACCTAGGTCCTTCTCACATTCACTCTCAAATAGTGCAGTTTCTTCATCTTGTTGGGACATATGATACGCCTCCTTACCGTTGGTATGCCCCAGGTGCATCCTCTTACACTTCGTAGCATTGAATCTCAGCAGTCATTTCTTCGACCATTTTTGGAGCTCACAGAGCTTCTTCTGCAGCTCTTCACAGTCCGCTTGGTTTTTGATTTCCCAAAATAACTTGGCGTCATCCACAAACATTTGTATGGAGGAGTGTACAACGTCAGGCATGTCATTTATGAAACAAACAAACAACAGCGGGCCAAATACACTGCCCTGTGGTACCCCGCTTGTGACAGGTACAGATGGTGATTTCGTGCCATTGATCACCACACACTGCTTGCGGTCATGAAGAAAGTCTTCTATCCACTCTAGAACATTTCCCCGAATTCCATACCCTTCCAGTTTGATTTTCAGCCATTAGTGGGGTACACTGTTGAAAGCCTTGGCAAAATCTAGGTATATATTGTCAATATTACCGCCCCGTTCCAGAATATGGGTCCAAATATCCAATACCTTGAGCAATTGGGTTAAGCAGGAGCGCCCCGGCATAAAACCGTGTTTGATCAGTTCAGTATTTTTTTTCTTTGGGGGGAGGGGTCCCAGGCTGTGTTGAAAGATGGGTGAACTAACGAAGCTCATGTTAGTGTGTGAACAGAAGTAAACAATTGTGAACAAAGGTCACCAGCAGCTGCCATCAGTCAGCACAGTGGATCATGGCCATGGTGGTAGTGGCCCCGCACCCATTCAAGGGTCTGCCTTTTTTTCTTTTTTAGTGCGATGAAGAGGAATAATCATCACTCGACAATCAGTCAGTGTTTATAGATCATTGGCGAAGAGGATAAAATTGTAGTTATTGCCGAGTTAAAGACATAGTGAGTTCAGTCAAATTGGTTTGGGTTAAATTTGTTAGTACAGTGTACTGTATTTTCAATAGAACTTACTTTCTGAAGTCATCCTCTATGTTAATGTCACCAAAACACACACAAACTAAATCTCCTTAACTGAATATGATTTTAGCTTATCTATAGGGCATATCATAATGGTTTTTTTAAATGTTTGTGTATACTTTCATTCATCCTGAAAAAGAACTGGCTAGTGAGGTGTGTGCTGGCCACCACAAATGTGGCTTTAAATAACTCAAGGTCTTGCTTAAGGAAATATAGAAACACTGTCTTCAGCAGGATGACCCACATAAAAGTGATGCTGATTTAATGTGATATAATTTATTAAGTTAAATAGTATATAAAGAAAAGGTAGTGTGGGGTGGGAGGTTCTTAGTAAGGCATATAACAAAGAAAATCTCTTGGTAAAATATTGTTTGCATATTCAAAAGTTGATTCTGTTATCAAAAGTAATGTGCCACTTCTGCCATTCCTGTTGCTTTAAATTAAATGCACAGGGTTTTGTAACTGAGGGGAATCTCAGGGTGAAAGTAAATAAAGGAACCAAATAGACTCAGCTGAATCCAGTCAGATTCACAAAAAACGATAATTTTTATGAAGTATTCGATACCATGAAATATGATTTGATTTCTCTTCTTGCTGCTCAATAATTGTTCACTCCATGACACCACCGTTTCTGGCAGCGAATTGCTTACACAATATACTTGCTTATCCTCTTCGGCTTCAAATGAGTGTCAACAAAACTGTGGCCTTGCATACTAATGCATGCTTAGACAATGACAAAGAAAACTATCACATAATCATGTCTATTTTTAACAGGAACGGTTCAGTGATTGTTTTCTTGTCATTTGTCTGAGTGTTTTCTGGTAAGCAGGGCCACAGTCTATCTTTTAAGTGTCATTTTGGATGTCACCCGCCGTAAGAAAGACAAAACTCGTTTATTCATTGTCGTATTAACCATCATCATTGTTGTAAAAACAGTGTAAAGCTGTAAGCCCACCTTCAGTTGTATAGTAAGACAACATAATAAGGTCACCACACTTTAAAATTATGGTCACCCTGTTTTGTTTTGTTTTAGCTAAAGTTATGTTTTTACTATTATTTTACGGTGCCTAATACTATATAGTCGCATCAGGAAACTTTTTTTTCCGATCAAAAGCTAATGATCGCTCTCTGTCTTGCGTGAATTTGGCTTCCACTCGATAACATTCCATTAATGTAATATTTTTCTTCCAGGTTTGATGTCTAAATTTATTGTTACTAGATTTGCCTTAGTTTATCTTAGGTACGGTAAGTTTAACAACATATCATTGCATTTAGATCCATTATGGACATGCGGTGGTTGATGACCAGCCAGGTTTTAGCTCCATAACTAACCTTCTATACAGTACATTGTGGGCATCATTAATAGGTTTTGCTATTATCATATATATATTATACTGTATAGCCTAAAGCTAGGGGACACAAAATAGACTGAGCTTAGGACTGTCACAAGCGGAGTACCACAGGGCAGTGTGTTGGGCCCGCTGTTGTTTGTTTGTTTCATAAATGACATGCCTGACGTTATACACTCCTCCATACAAATGTTTGCCGATGATGCCAAGTTATTTCGGGAAATCAAGAACCATGCAGACTGTGAAGAGCTGCAGAAGTATCTCTGTGAGCTCCAAGAATGGTTGAAGAAATGATTGCTGAGATTCAATGTCACGAAGTGTAAGAGGATGCACCTGGGGCGTACCAATGGTAAGGAGGCGTATCATATGTCTCAACGGATGAAGAAACTGCACTATTTGAGACTGAATGTGAGAAGGACCTAGGTGTGTATGTTGACAATGAGCTGAAGTTCTCGGGCCATTGCGAGAAGAATAAATCAGGCAAATAAATTATTGGGTCTTACAAGAAGGTCGTTCAGATATCTAGATGGTCTGTCACTCGTAACGATCTTCAAGAGTGAAGAGCTTCCCATCTGGAGTACTGTCACCCCGTCTGGTCCCCGAGATATACTAGGGACTGTCAGTTGGTTGAAAATTTTCAAAGGAGGGCCACCAGACTGGTGCCTGCACTTCGGCACCTCAACTACCCTGAGAGATTGGAGCGCCTGAACTTGCCTAGCCTGTACTACAGACGGGCAAGGGGCGACCTAATTGAGGTGTATAAGCATCTCAAGGGGCACTACTCAGTTGAGTGTCCTTACTTGTAGCTGGTGGATGCTCGCCCCACAAGGGGTCACAGCTCAAGGCTGAAGAAACCGCAAGTCCAGAAAACTGTGAGGGCAAACTTTTTCGGAGTGAGAGTTATGAACTCTTGGAACAATCTGCCAGAAAGTGTTGTGACGGCACCGAATGTGAGCTCTTTCAAGACCAGACTTGACCATCGCTGGAGCAGGTTCAGGTACATTCAGGAGCCGGTACATGCCCAATACTTGCCAACAGTGCATAACAGAGACGTGACCAATCGCCCAAGCGGTTAACGGGCCAATCAGTGGTGAAGAGGATAAAAGTAAAAGTATAACATGCTGAAATCTGCCATTTACACCACTGCAACTTTTGTGTACACACCTTTCACACTTAATGCACTTTATTGAGTTTCTGCCAACAGCTTTCTTACAGACAGCACATAGCCATTTTACACTTTCCACCACAGAATCTTCACCCGTGACACAGGTTACATCAACAAATTATCTTCTAAGAATCATTGTCAAACTCAATGCTCAGTTTACATGATGTATTTTCTTGACAGTCCTTTCACCACTCTGGAGTCAAGAAGCACCGGACTGCAGTTTACATCTTTGTAGTCACAGAGGAACACACCGATTTTCCTGAAGCACGACTAGGTAAGAAAAAAAAGGAATTGAATAATTTACTGTAATAGTGAGAATATTTGAAAAATCATTTTTATAAAGGTTTTTATTTTAAGGAAATGGCTATTATTTTAGATCAGTGAATGTTTACATGTAACAAGAAGAATATAATGAAGAGTAAATGTTAGCAAGTGCATAACAATTAATTATTATTTTTATGATATCACATTCTTGGAGATATCAAATAATGAGCTTTTCCCCAAAGGTCGTCGGAGACAGTGGTTCAGCATGGATGAAGCTTTACTTCATTTGGCCCGCCACCGTCCCCTTCAAAGTGCCTACTTGCAATTCTTAATGATGTCCAAACTCAAGGTAGCAGCTGCATCCTAGAACTAGCAAGGCTGGAGACTGATTGGCTAGAGGCAGGAGGATTGTTAATCATTCAGTGTTGAGGTTAGGCAAAACATTTACATCTTTAGTTTTAAAGACTTTAAATTTTTTATAAGCTTAAGATTACATTTGTTCTGTTAAAAGTTCAAATTAAAGATTAGATTGACATCCACACTCATTAATGATATGTTTCTCAGCAATTACAAGTACATTGCTTATTGTAATTTTCCTGTAACATTTGGCTCCACTACATACTGTATTGTTATACCTAAGGTAGGGAGGAGAAGTTGTACATTATTTGTAGAATTTTTAGACAAGTAACTTTTATGAAATTCTGTACTGTACTGAACTGTGCAGACAGCCATAAGCTTTTCAGGGTCCACTCTGCAAATGTAGTAGTACAGCATACCATACATTGTTTTCTCAAATAAATACAATACTACCAGGGATTATATTTCAAAATTTCATATGATTACAACAATATTTCCTTTCATACACTAAGAGGGTTACTTTTATTTTGATCACTTCAGTACTGTATTTGCAATAGAATTTTGCTAGTAACAAATGAAATGTTGCTGGAAGAGTTAAAATTTCTCATACAGGTACTTCTCATGATTTAGCCTCACTTTGTATTATTTTTCATCTGTTTAAATACCCATGTTTTTAGGAGGTGAAAACCAACTAAAGTCAAATGTGTTTTTTCCTATAATTATATTTGGTATACTGTACTGTATAACAAAAGTTTGGTTACATAATTACATTTTTGCACACAGATTTATGCTCTGGCAGTTGTGATGACTCTGTGGATAATTAGTTTCTCAGTCATCATATTTTGATCCTAAAACATAATTTATCTGTTTCACATGACTTATAAGCATTCCTCCTAGCCCAGTCTTCTAACTCCTGCCTGTGGGAGCCAATTTTTGGACAGTTAGTGCCTTGTTCCTGAATCATAGACATCCCTCGGTGAACATATATTGTTGTATATATAATATTGTAATTATTTTTTATACTATATACTTCATGTCGGGTGCTCTTTAGTAATGAATAGATTTTCTAGTAATGAGATATTGTCATTATTTTAATCTGGATTGTTCGATGAATTCCCTTTTCATCGAAATACCAGTATTTAAACCGCCAAGTTTCTGAGCTTGTTATCGAACAACAGTTATCAGCATTCAACACTATTATTAAAGCTGCTGTTTATATATTGCACTGTACAGTATGTAGATATATATATATATATATATATATATATATATATATATATATATATATATATATATATATATATATATATATATATATATATATATATATATATATATATACTATATATATATATATATATATATATATATATATATATATATATATATATATATATATATATATATATATATATATATATATATATATATATATATACAGACACAACTCCGTTCAGAAGATTCGTTAACGAGGATTTAGTTAACGAAACCATTGTTTCAATGGGTTTTTGGGTAGTGGTTCCAGCTCACCGAAAATTTCCTAAATTCAACAAAATGGTAGAAAAGTTCACTTACTTTGAGGTGTGTATGTAGAAGGCTCCTGGATGATGATGATGGGATTTAGAATGGGGGTCGAGGAGAAGGACGAAGAGAAGGCATTGGGGTGGAAGAGAAGTCACCCCATGGCGCCATTTCACCCATAAAATTTTAGCTGTCTGGTGTAATTCAAGATTATTTTCTTTAAATCAACACTGCACTGCATTATATATTGTCAATATGTAAAATATATTTCAAAATGACCAATAATTTGCTTGGAAACACAGAAAAAAAGCGTTTAGTTGAAGAGAGTCTCAAGCAGGATGTTACCTCCAGTGAAAACAGAGAGAGACTAACTCCTGTTTGCTGTGTTAAGAGGCTGGATGCCGCGCATTAAACTAGTCACTTTACCTTCAATTATGTTCAATAATTGTTAAAATGACTAAAAAATTGAATATTAAACTTTTAAAATTATTGAATAGTATAAACTTCTTGATATTTACTAAAATAGTAAGTAATTTAAGCCCTAGAACCGATTAATGTATTGGCGGACTGATACTAAAGCTGGTTGCCCGGTCAGTGCAAGCGAAAACATGTTGAGGTCGGTTCTTAAGAACTTCGTTAACCGAATTTTTTTTCGTTAAACCGAATTGAAGATCCTTATGGAAGGCAGTTCGTTAATCGAAATTACGTTAACCGAGGTGTTCGTTAAACGAGGGGTCACTGTATATATATATATATATATATATATATATATATATATATATATATATATATATATATATATATATATATATATATATATATATATATATATATATATATATATATATATATATATATATATATATATATATATATATATATATACTGTATATATATATATATATATATATATATACTGTATATATATATATATATATATATATATATATATATACTATATATATATATATATATATATATATATATATATATATATGTATATATATATATATATATATATATATATATATATATATATATATATATATATATATATATATATATATTAGTAAAGGAAATACTGCCATTAAGAAACACAGTGACTACATGTGCTTTGTATTTTTGTAGAGTTTGTTTTGTTTCTGTAATAAAAAGCACGGTACATCAGAAAACTGTACATATTTAGTAACTGGGTGGCATTATCTAATATCTTCATAGTACAATACAACCCTAAAATTTATGTACAGTATAGTTATGTTGATGCCCTATGGGACCTCATGAGTGACCCCTGTGATCTACTATCACTCAGTACTCCCATAGTAGAGCCCTTGCCTGGTTACATAATTAGCAGAATGCCATATCCAACAATGCCCTAAGTTACAAGCAGCCTTTTCACCCATTTGAATTAGTACTGATTCAGTGATTTTCAGAGTTAATGAGTTTTCTTATCAAGAGTAAAACTCTTGGCAAAGATTCATGTGTGTCAGACTCTCAGACCTTCCTAATTGTATAAAAAGTTCATACTCCAGCTCATTAGTTCCTGGTCTTACAGACATAACATTAAAATCTGCCTTCTTGGGCTTCAGGTAGACATATTGAGAAGGATAAATATTGCTTTAGGCTGCAATAGCCTAAGTAGATACATCACTTGCCTACTGTCCTAAATCTGATTCATTACCAGTGTACCTCTGGTCGACCCAGCTGTGAACAGGTATCCATTTATACAATTGTGGAAGTGAAAGCAATTTCGTGGTGTTAACTACACTGCCTCCATGTGCACCAAATGGTTTAGCTTCAAATGCAATATCTGCACTTCCCTTGTGGCCAGTTAAAACTTATGGAGTCCACTTTCACTTTTCTGGAATAGCATGGTTTATATCTTTACATATATTGATTACTCGGTCATGACTTATGCAACTGTTTGTTTGGACATTTAAAGCATGTAGTGATTAATTTAGTCTGTACCTGTGCCAGTTAATTATTGATCTTTGTACCAGTGTGAATGTCTTTTTCATATAACCCTAGTGCATTTGTGATGGCAACTAGTAATGGGTCCACTGGCATTCACCTTCTAATAGTGAGAATCTTAGTGATATCCACATGCACTAGTAACTTGGTGTTCACCACTGTAAGATAGCAGTGTTCATTTTGAATTGTGAATTCCTTCTCTCTTCTTTCGAGGGATTACTAATGGCTATGATCTGATGAGGTTAGGTTAAGCCTTTGAAAGTTGTAGTGCTTTGAGACGTAAGTCCTTGCTGAGATTTCAACTTTTGACCTGAATGCTCAGTAGTCTTAAGAACCACTGATTCAACTAAATGAGAAGTTGTTTCAGTCATAAAGCCTTCTTCATATGGATAATGTATCCTGCTCTTAAGTATGGTAATCAGACTCCCTGGCAATGGTGGCTTTTCCATGGGCAACTTATTGGTGATACATTTCAGATGACTTGTTTCATCCCTTTGGCCATAAAATAAGATTTCATATATTTCTCCTTCATTTGTGCACAATATTTAATATTGCCTAATTTCTTCAATGCAGAAACCATTACAGTTAACTAAAAGGAGCCACAAGAGAGGGTATTTATATTTAAATGATTTTTTCCAACTGACAGGACAATGTGTTTTAAGTAATTTAGATGCACTACACATACCGTACTGTACAATCGTCCATGAACATGTGAGACAACAGCTTTAGTAAACTTATACAGTGTATGATTACTGTATTTTCATAGTTGACGATGACATGCTCCTGTCTCTGTAATGCTCCACCTTTGTGTTATTTGGAAGCAAGGTTCATTAACAACATTTTCATTATAATGAATACTCTGTATTGCAAGTTCTCCTGAAGTGTTATCATTAAAAGGTACTAATAACATATAATTTCATATACAGTACTGTACAGTACTATAACTATTTAATTCTTATAAATTTAAGTAGATTGCAAACTCTTTGAATGGATTTTAGATTAAAAGAAAATTTTTCACCTATGCAGTAATTTGAAATAATATATTAGATTCATGGACTTGGTAAAACTCCACATATGATATGGTAATCTTACAGTAAATGTATGTAAAAGACATACAGTACAGCTTTTGCCTTCACTATTTATCCACAAATTATTTTTTAATGTTGAAATGGATAGTCAAGAAGTATGTAAGATAAAGGTTTTTCATGTAATCTTTTGTTTTATATAATTGCAGTTTTAATTTTGCATCAAATATATTTATCTGATGTCTTGTGTAATCATAATTCTGGTTGGTTGAGATCATTATTAAAGTACTGTACTGTGCAGTAGTCATACATGTGTTGACAGAAAATACAGAACTGTATTAGAAAATACATTTTTATATTTACTGTACACTGATATTGGGCTTCAATGTAAATTTGTTGTTTATTCAGATCGTATTTTATAATAACACATTGGTAAACACACATGATATATTCATGTTTAGAGAATAATTAAAATGCACCTGTTGCATAAAAATGTGATAATCACACAGTAGGTGATTTTGCTACCATTGAATACTAATGTGGTAATGTACTGTACATGTACAAGTAAAAACCCAAATGAGAAAATATTTGTTTACCCGAGGTTCAATATTTGTGAATTGTTCTGAAGGCATAAAGATTTTAGTCATATCAGGAACCAATTTTATAGGAACCGTTTGTATGATATGTTTAATTTACCAGAGGTAAAGTTCTTTGTGGTAATAAATTAGATGCAAACACGTGTCCTATTATAATATCACTTCATGATTGTTGTTGATAACCTGTGACATATCACTTATGTAATACTGTAACTTTGAATATATCCATAATTTTGGTAACAAGAATTTAATTGTGACCTGAAAATTCTCAGAATGCACTGCCATTTAATTATGAGATTATTGTATTAGATGGACCTGTCACTCTTGAAACTCTCGTCTCCCAGTGATTGTGCTTTTAGCCCCAAACACAAATCTCAATATGACAACCAAGGTCGGTTGTCAGTGAAATATCCAAAAGCAACAAAGTTCGCTTCTTACCATAAAGTAGAATTCATGGAGTCCTGTTGTGTCAGTTTTTGTATTTCTTTCCACAACAGGACTAAGAGTGTAACCACAAGATTAAGGAAGTACAGTAGACAATACTGTAGTCTAGGTTACCAGCTTTACTGTATCTTTGCCTCCATTATTTAAATCTGGGTAACTTAGTACAAAATGTAGATGAATTGCAAAGTACAGAAAATAACAACAACACCATAAGCAAATGCAAAGACTTGCTTAAGGCTACCAAACTGAAAATTAAAATATCATGGGAAGTTGAAGATGACACTATTGTCAGATTGATGCTAATACAGTAGCTCTTCATTTTCTTTGAAAATAAGAAAATTGAACAAAATATGAAGAACAAAACAAAAAGGAAAAGAAAATTGATGAGATGGTTGAAAGATATAAACGAAAAGAAGTACAGTACATACATGTATACTGTTACTATAAGTTGGCAGTTAATTATTGGAAAGGAACTAAAGGATGAGTGCAAGGACCTTAAACATTAGAGAATATTGAAGGATAATCAACTGTGCATTAAATGAGAACCTATTTAAAGTGAAGTTAAAGATGTGAAAGATAAAATTATAAACATTTACTGTACTGGTAGATACATCCAACAATAAGTAAGTCCCCTCCCTTTAATTTAATTTTACACCACTTGGACTCTTCAAAAACATCCTCT